AGGAAACCCACACAAAAAGGGGGAGAACATGCAGACTCCACACAGACAGCACCCCAGGTCTGAACTTGAACCCGGAGCCCCAGCGCTGCCGGGCAGCAGTGCTGAGCACTGTGCCACTGTGTCGACCTTCCTAAATAAATTCCCCTCTTAATTCCGCTGCTGAAGTATGATTAAGTAATCCATCCCTTCTCTGCCGAATCTGCTATACGTGCAGCAGATGAAAATTATGCCACACATCAGCCAAGGGGGCTGAAATGAGTCCCCTCTTAAAGTGCTTTGGGATGAAAAACCGATTACAGTTACAGTACAGTAACAGTTACAGTATTATTCGTAATAATAATAAAAAACTAGTATAAATCTGTTGGAGCTGTGAGGTTCAGGTGTGTGTGGGGGGTTTGATATACTCCTTTCCTACAGTATTTTTTTTTAAATCTGTCTCTAAATTCCTATTAGTCATGGACGAAAATCATCTTACATAACTGCCCAGCGAGACAGAAACCGTCTGAAAATTAATATCCCGCTATTTCCAATTGAGCTGACCGATTATCCCATGCGAATTACAATCAGTAAATTTTAACGGTGCAAAATCACAAAACAAAACGCGTCTCGGAAGACACGATCAAAGAAACCACTCACTCTAACCATGGAATATTTTCTTCCGACGTTTTAGAATTATTTTTTTTTTTACAAAACTCAGCCACTGCAGGGAGGTGTCCTAAAGGTCTTTGTTACCTACGTTACCTATTGCTCACCACCCCACACACACAGTCGATACAGAATAGTTGCGTAAAAGCAGTGACTCACAAGAGGCGAAATCCCAGTATTGCTATTGTCATCGTTACGACACTGCTTAAGAATTTAATCTTGGGTAACACCGTCGACGGGTTGCAATAAAGGCATGATCACCTAATGAAAAATACAACGACAAATTATATATAATATGAAGTTTTCGCTTGATTTTAATTAACGAGTCTCTAGTCCCTGTACAGTCCCGGGTTATGTCGTCGATTTCCTGCAGTGCACAGTTCAGTTTCGGGTTTGAATAAATTGGGGGGGACGAGTTGCTTGACGCTTAATTTCTTTTTCTGAAGAAAATCGTAACGTTTCAGCTTAGAAATAACCCAGCAAAGACGTATTCCAAAAGACGAAAAACAAT